TCGGCTTCAGTTAGCAGCAGTAGCGAAGGAATCGCTCCATCGGGTTCAGTTAACAGCCATCAATCGATTGCTCGGGTTCAGTAACGCGTAGCCTGCAGTGCAATCGCTCGGGTTCAGTTAGAGCCCAACGCCTCGCTCGGGTTCAGTTAGAGCCAATGCCTCGCACACACGCGCGTACGTGTACAAGAGAAACGTGCATCGCTCGGCCCCCGACCTCCCACCGTAACCGGCAACTCCCCGAAATTTTCCTCCCCCTCGCTTCTACCACGGTTTTTTCCGTCATGGACGGCCCAAAGAATGTCATGCAGCTGCGTCTCCGGCCCGCCCAGGATGAAAAGCCCATTTTCTGTCATGATTTTTTGTCATAGAAGTAGGAGCCCACCACATCTATGATGATACCGGGTTTTGTCACAATTATCGTCATAGAAGTGTCATATGTATGACAGAAAAAAAAATCATTCGGCCCAAAATGTCACGGATGTGTCTTTTTTTTGTAGTGCTACTGTCTCACAAAACCCAGAGAAACGTCCTCCTCCTAGGCCGGCCGCCTTCCACTCCTTCAGCTCTCGAGTGACAGAACTCGCCAAATCCGGCGCATTCAACTACTGGTTAGTCCTATTGAAGACTCTCGCATTGCGCTGCTTCCAGAGTGCCCAGATCACCGCAATCACCACCATATCAAAGCCCCTCTTGGCGTCACGACTCCATCTTGCACGTTGTGCCAACCACCAATCCAAAAGTTGATCCTGCACCTCCAGAATGGTTGCCTGCAAACCCAAAGCATCAAACATGATATGCCACACCTCCCTAGCGTACACACACTGGACTAGTATGTGCTCTGCATTATCTTCCTCTTGAAGACACGTAAACCATGCGGAAGGTCGATCTTGCAACCCATGCCTCGCTCTCCTATCCGAAGTCCAAATACGGTGTTGCACCGCCAACCAAGCAAAGATTTTGCACTTGAGCAGAGCCCAACTTTTCCAAATGCAAAAGGCATAAGGTACCACAACTGCACCAAGGCAGAGCCGTTGGTATGTCGACCAAGCAGTATAGAGACCTGACGGGTCTGCAGGCCACGAAAAGGCGTCCGGTCGCAAGACGTCACGCTAAACCGTGCTTATAGCTAGGTTGAAATGGATGAGCTGCATGTGGTCACCAAAGTCGAGATCTCCTAATAAATCACGCAACCACCTCCCATTCTCCAAGCCATCCGCCACCATTCTCTTGTTAATCGTCCTCGTTTCCACCTTAGAATGAATGAGTGGTGCAATATCCTTTGCAGAGAAACCATGGATCCATCGATGTCGCCAAAACAGAACCTTAGTGCCATCCCCCACCGAGATGTTCACCAGGCTATCAAACACCGCGCAGGCATCTCTGTCCTCCGTCATTGGCAGCCCTTGCCATGGCCTTTCAGGGTCCGTTCTACGCAACCATTCCCATCTCACCCGCAGTGCGAGCCCCTGTAGCTGCAGGTTCCGAACGCCTAGGCCACCCAGATAAGTAGGTTTGCAAACCGCATCCCAAGCAATCAGACATTGCCCACCATTGGCCTTCTCCTTGCCAGCCAAAAGAAACCTCTCATCCATTGTTCGATCTCTTCCAACACCCAAACAAGAGCCTCCGTAATCATGAAGTGATGAATCGGTTTAGCCGAAATTACCGATTTCACAAGCACAAGACGACCCGGCCGGTGAATCAGTCCCCTTTGCCACGCCGGCGCAAAGCCCTTAGCTTGGTCCAACATAGGCTGCCACTCAGCCCTAGTGAGAGTCCTGATGGCCAATTGCAGCCCAAGGTATCTGCATGGGAAGGTACCCATGCGGCATTTCAACACCGACTCAACCCGGTCCTTGTCCGCACTGTCCCCATGAATCATAATCGCCAGAGATTTGTTGTAATTCACCTTCAAACCCGATGCCTCCCCAAATACCGTAAGAACCGACCGAACGAGCGAGAGATCCAAGAGTCGTGGCTTGACAAATAAGTCCACGTCGTTGGTGTAGATTGACACTGCTTGGTGAGGGGCAATGCCCGTGAATGCACTCAAGACGCCCATGGTAGCAGTGTGAATCATCATCTTCGAGAGGACGTCCATGGCAATCACAAAGAGAAGAGGCGAAACTGGGTCCCCTTGCCTTAAACCCTTAACATGCACAAAGCTTCTTCCTGGCACCCCATTCACGATCACCTTCATGCTAGAGGTCCTCAAGAGGATGGCAATCCACTGGTACCACTTGGTACCAAAACCCTTCCTACGCATCACCTCAAATAAGAACGGCCAGGCAAGGGAGTCAAAAGCTCGTGAGATGTCCAACTTCAAGAACACTCCCGCATCCTTGCGAGCATGAATTTTCCTAGCGACTTGCCGGACCAAAAGGAAGTTATCGTGGAGATGCCTCCCACAAATGAACGCCGACTGGTTCGATTCAACGATCTCCTTCATTCTTCTCCGCGCACGATTAGCAAGCATCTTAGCGAACAACTTGGCCGCACTGTGGGTTAGGCTGATCGGCCTAAAGTCGCCCACCTCCTTCGCCTCGGGTTTTTTTGGAATAAGCACGATGTGTGCTCGGTTTAATTTACCAAAACCCCGGCCATCTCCCACATAAAGCTTCATGAGCACTGCCATCACATCCCTCTTAATGATATGCCAAGCTTTTTGGTAGAATGCCGTAATGAAGCCATCCGGGCCCGGAGCCCGATCCGGCGGCATCTCCTTGATCGTATTCCAAACCTCCTCTTTTGTAAACATCCCCTCAAGCTCGGACAGGTCAATTCCTTCCAAACCAAGGAAGTCTAGGTCCACTTCCGCCTCCCTTGCGTTTGCCTGCCCAAGCAGCCGCTCATAAACCTCCGAGAAGATCTCCTCCTTCCTAACTTGCTTCGTGATCAGCTCTCCATTGTGTCTAATATGCGGTATAAAGTTCTTACACCTCCTTCTGTTAGCCACCGCTTGAAATAGCTTCGTATTCACATCGCCTTCTTTGATCCATTTGAGCCTCGATCTTTGCCTCTCGATCGTACGTTGCAGGGAGGCCAGCCCTAGCAAAGAGTGTTTTAAAGATCTCCTCAACCACCTCTCCAACCAAGACAGGGCCCTAGCCTCCATCGCTTTATCCAGCCTTAGGATGACATAATTGGCAATGGCAATTTGGATCTTAATGTTCCCCGTTGTCCTTTGACCCTAAGCTTGAAGGGCCACCGCCGTGTTCCTTAACAATGCATCCAATCTTTTGAAAGGATCGGTGATCTCCTCCGTGCACACCCAAGCTTCCTTCACTACCTGCTCGAACCCCTCAAGCCGCGTCCAATACATCTCAAACCTAAAACTCTTCTTAGCGCAGAAAGGCGGCGCCGTGGAGAGGTGCAACGGGGCGTGATCAGAAATATTAGTTGAAAGAGCTTGCAACAAAACATCCGGATAGTAAAGCTCCCAATCCACCGACACTAACACCCGATCGATCTTGGTCATCACCACGTTCTCCCTCTCATTGGACCACGTGAACCTCCTTCCATGCATGTAGAGTTCTTTAAGCTCATTGTTATCCATAAAAGCCTTAAATCTCCTCATCATAGATCTATTAAGATTCGAGTTATTCTTCTCCTCAGCCCTCAGGATCATATTAAAGTCACCAAGCACCATCCAAGGACCCGGGCAAGCATCTCTTCTATGTTGCAATTCGATCAAAAAATTGATCTTTGACTCATCCCCTTGGGGACCATACACCATGGATAGCCACCATTCCCATCCATCCTTGTTACACACACGCCCCGTGAGAAAGTTAGAATCCCGGGTTAGATTGTCAATCTCCATGTATGAGCTCTCCCAAGCAAGCAAAATACCACCCCTCGTATCGATCGCCGGGAGATAAGCAAAACCATCAAAAGATGGCCCAATGCATTGCATCACCAAGTATGTATCGAGTACATCTAGCTTCGTCTCTAGAAGACACACCAAATTCACCTTAGCATATGTTACATAGTCCCTAACCGCATTCCTTTTAGTAGGGTTATTAAGACCCCTCACGTTCCAAGAGAGTACACGAGGATTCCAATCCATAAGTGTCCCGGTACACACCCAGAAACCCACCAAGCACTCAGGCCTCCCCCACAACCACGGACGTAGTGGCACTCCTCGCAAGCACCGGTGGCATCTCCTTACCGAACAGGGCCGCCATGACCCGAATGTGCTGCTCTCTGAGAGGAGACTCAAAGATCTAAACACCTCCGCATTAGAATACACCGATCCCAAGTGCGCCCTCACTACTGTACTGTTGCATGCATGGAAAAGCTTCAGCTGGAGGGTAGTTACTCTTGATGTAAGCGAGAGATTATCGCCAGCCCTGGCGAGCGAACCACATGCGTGAGGGAGCAAGTTATCGAGCCGGCCCATATCGCTGTATCCATGTGAGCTATGGCGACGACACGGCGCATGACAGGACCTCCCGGGGCCCGGGCTATGGCCTGCATCCGAATTAAGCCCACGGCCCATGCCAACCAGGTCCAAGATACTTGTCCTGCGCGTGAGATAGAGAGAGCGACCGACGGACGCCACCACCAAGCCGAGCCGGCGGCGGGGGCAGCTTGGTGGACGCCACGCCACGCCCGCGATGGGGGCGGGAGGATCCTGGCGCTGGGCCGTGGGCGCGGTCTGCGGCGGGCTGGTTTACTACCACTGCGCGGTGCGGCGGGCGAGCGCGGTGTCCCTCGCCGCCGACGTGCTCCTCGTCCTCCTCTGCTCCCTCTCCATCCTCGGCCTCCTCTTCCGCCACCTACACATCTCGTGAGTGCCTCCCTCGCTTCTCGTCTTTTCCGTGCTTCAGCTCTGTTTTTTTTCTACAGCGTGTCCCTTTTTTTAAGGGAAAAGGGAATGGGGATTTATGAAAGGGAGTTGGTCGAGGGATTAAACTTGGGAAGTGGTTTATTAGTCCCAATCCCACGTTTGTTTCGGGGTTGGAATTATTTGTGGGAACTTGACAGGGAATTAGTTTCCTTTGTTTGGTTGGTGGGTCTAGGAATTGGAGTTGTTTATGATAGGATTTGAGTAGCTACAAACTGAATCGGCTGTATTGTCTAGGTCTGCAACTTTACATCGGACACAGAAGGAAAATGATGGCCAGCGTACACCCCTGCACTTGCTGCAATTAATCTTGTGTTGGCTGAAAGGCAAGCCTTTTCAGCTTCCTCCACCATTCAGGTCAATCTGAGGCAGCAAATAATTTCCAATCAGATCATCAAAAACGGTCCCAGGTAGTAGGAATTGAATATCATCAAAACACAGGCACATGTAGTAGGAAATGAAGCAAGACATGGAGCAAGTATCAGGCAATCCACTGCTTGATGAAACATATGAAAATATCATTTTCCAACAGTATTGACATGGACTGAAAATGCAACATATCTCCAAAACTGAACTACTGGTGCACCGTATGAAAGAAGACAATGTAAAATAAATTGGCGTGCATCAAAAGTTGCAAACAATGAGTTTAAAGGCAAACAATTAGTAGTCCTGAACTAAAAATCAAAACTGGAGTGTAGACTCCTAAATCTGGACATCCACTTATTTTTTGGCCACCTCAAGCTCCTGGCGAACAAACACCACTTTGTAATCATCACGCAACTTGATGAAAAATTCTGTCTTTCCAGCATCACCCCCAATGACACGTACAGCAATAGCAACTTTTTCAGTACTGAGATCTTTAAGATTTTGGAGGATATCAAGTAATTTGGTTCTATTGGCTGATGTTTTTGCTCATGAACTTCAGCTCCATGCATAAATGGCCTCTGTAAACCATTAATGTTTTTTGCATTCTCCTGCTCTGCTTCCAAGAACTTCACAGTTGTATTGGACATGCTTATAAGACCCGACTCAAGTGCATCATCATTAGGGTATGTTCTCTCACGACCAGACCTAGAACCACTGGATGGGTTTGTGTTCTCATGTGTTTCAGGAGGATTCTCCTTGTCTGGTTGGCTATTAGGTTTCTGCATCTACCGTCGATCCACCTTCTGCAATTTCTTCTTCTCCAGGACCTTTAGCACTCCCTCCTTTAGCCGAATCACTGGCGTAGACCTCATATAGCTTGTCAAAATTAACATAGGCTTCATGTACAGAGGACCTGCTCCCTCACGGGACTACAAAAAAGAGCATAAATTTCCATTAGAAACTGAATTGTAATGAAAAAACATGAAACAGAGCAGCTTGCTTTACATATTGAATGAACATATTTTACCTTTGCCCAGCCCATATACGTCTCTATCTCCACTTACCACCTTCCTCTCGTCATCGCATCCAAACCAGTGCCATTTTGCATAATTTCTAGAACATAAGAAAGTTGCTTCTTCAAAATCTTAACTATAGACTTGATATGCGGATTTTCTTTAAGATCAGCGTGTGGTATTACTTCAGCCATTTCCTTCTCAATGTAGGTAAGATATCCGGACTGGTACCAGTATCTATTTCCAAGACGAATCATTCATTTCATATAGAATGCCAATAGTAACTTCTCCTCCGCTGTCCATGTTCTTTTGTCACTCTTTTTGGATGTCAATTTGCTCTCCTTTAGCTTGGTATTCTGCTAGTTTTAATATGACAATAAAATGTATGTGCACAAACAGTAAAAAATATAGATGCTCACAAAGGAAATATCATGTTTAGGTTATTGCTCTTCAGTATGTGCCTTCTGAGCTACAGTTGGCGGTTTTCTTTACGAAGGCCCAGACTAGAGCGCACCATGGATTTTATCTCTCCAAACTCAATGTTGTGGATCCACCCTATGTTTTTTTTGGGGTG